TCTCCAGAAGGTTCCATCTGATCTAGCAGCTTTATGGACAAAACAAAGTGCTCAGGAAGTGGTTGCTACAACCAATGAAAATGAAGCAGCTTTTTGTTTTGGGGGTTTGTGAACACTGATGCTATTCCTTTTTATATATTTTTTTAGCTTTCTTAATTGGCAGAACAGATACTACATATTTTTTCATGCAAATCCCCCTACATATTGCATGTCTCTCTATAAAGCATGCACTTGAAATGTATTGCTTTCAAGTATTTCAAGCTGCCAAAATTAACAATCATCCTCAGCAGATTAAAGATTGCACTACAAACTGTTCACCATCTCTGTATAAATTGCTATTTATGGAAAGCACCATACCTTCATAGTATCTTTGTCCAGTACTCATTGTTTAGTGGGGTACATTTAGTTGTCATGAGTTTCTCCAGTATATTTCTGATATATTGTTCTTCATTAAGAAAACACACTTAAGGCACTGTAAGAAAAGTGTCTTTAATTAAGAGGAATAGGAAAAAATTATGTTACACAATGGTCTTATTTACCAGCCCTGAAGCTGTAAAATATGCTTTCATAATGATAGCCTTAGAAAAAAAAAAGGAACATATGCATGAGCAATTACGCATAGCAAGCAGCAATCTTACTTTGTGTTCCATTATCACATTTTGCTTTTAGCAGTTCATGCAATAACTGGCCGATTACAAAATATGCTTTTGGGAAATTTTATTTTATTTTTTTTCTGGTTTGCAGTGAAGGTCTCTGCACAGTTAGAGAATGCTGACCTTAATTTGCTGTGTCCTACCCAGTTTTGAACCGGCTTAGAATTCCATATCACAGCATTTCAAATTGAGATACCACAGAGCAAGCTCCATCGGGGCTCAACAGGATTGTATAAACAGTGACGCTGGCCTGAATGTCATGCAGTTTGAGCCTCTGCTTCATATTGCGTTGTATCATTGCCAGGTTCTGCTAACCCCGGTCAAATTCGTTTGTAAATTATGCATACAGTCCAGGGGTGTAGAGTGATTTGCAAGGCTTAGGTTAGGAGATTGACACCTGAGAATTTGCACCAGTGTGCATTTATCTGCCGGTGCTGATGAAACACCTAGGCTGGGCATTTCTCAACTGTCAGTGACCTCACTTTTCAGAAGAAATGATGGCATATGGGAATGATCTCACATGAGAGGTTTCAGTCGTGTCACATTAACGGCACATTAGAGGAAGTGCACTGTGCTGGCTTCCAGCGAGAGCAGTTGGCAGGCAGGCATTAAAGATGAGATTCTGGAACATTTTCTTTGCCTCCGTGGAGTCAAAGAGTCCACATTCTCTGCCCCAAATTAAATGTCTTCCCCCTCTCCCCTTTTCTCTCCAAACTATTTGTGTCTGTCTGAGTTAGAGTTATCACGTGATGTGCAGACAAAAGGGAGGCACCCTTGGACTATGGAGAGGTTACAGGGTTTTTTTGTGTTGTCCAGCAAGAGGGGGTGGGGCGTCCAAGCTTTGAATAGGATCATTGAGTCGGAGGTAATTTTGGGCTCTGGTTCAGGGCATCAGTTGGACAGTTCTTTCTGCTGACATGCCTGTTCCCCATCTCTTGCTCCCTTTTTTTAACTCCAACCCCCAGCTCTTCTCTGTGCTGCATCGGCATTTCTGCCCAAATCAAGCCTTTATCCTCCTGCCCATGGTGACATGTGTGATAGGGTGTGGCAACCAAGATAACTTTCCAGTCGTTACCTTTGGGAATCTATTTATCTGGAGATGGATAACCTGCAGCCAGCCACACTTAACATTGCTGTGGTTTTATAAGCCACTAGAGCCTATCTGTGAAATGAATAGATGCATGCAAGACATCCCTATATATTATCATTGTAGCTTCTGACAGCTTGTGATTGCGGCTAAAACTGGCTTTAAGACAGCTTCATATATGGGCACATTGCAAAAGCTTATAACTACTAGAACAGAAACCAAGCCATTTTCCAATTGACCTATTTAGGACCAGTAGACATATGATTTGTTAAATATTTAATCGCATAACGGTGGCGAAGTAAACCCTTATTTTTTTGCATTGGAGAAAGTCTGGTGGGTGAATCCAGACAATTTTTTACTAGTAGTGAAAAGAAAGTTTTTCTAATCAAGGAATGTACAATATATTAATGCTAATGTTTGGAGTAATAGCAACAGTCCTTTTTTAAAAATGTTACTGTGGGATAAAGACTACAAGTTGGCTGGTATAATCTTTTCTAAATAATAAATCAGAAGGATCCCAAAAAAGAAACAAAAACAAAAATATGTGTAAATAAATACATAAGAATTTGATACAGACAAGGAAAAGGCATCATTAGCGACGTTTACTTGCGTTAAATTTCCCCGATCCAATCTAAATCTTGGATGATCACAAGTTCAAAATATGTTAACATAGACACTAAGTAAAATGATCCGATCATAATGTGTATATACATGTACCAACCATTTCGATCAGAATAAATCATTTGAGCATGCGCAGAACTGTCTAATTTCCGAAAACCCTTAAGTAGTAGAAGAAGCTGACTGTTTTGTAAACAAAGCTGCTCATCCTCAACTTTAACTCATCTTTATGCCCGCCCCTCGCTATTGTTTTTCTTCAGCCCTTCAGTTTTTTTTTGGTTCACTATGGATCTTTGTCACACCATACTTTTGTTTTGGTGGTCATTTTAGTTAAGTCGGTTAAGCGGTTTCTTATGCTCATCCAGACATTACATTTAGAGCAATCTCCTTCACCAATGAGCCAGTGGATGAAGGCCAGTAGAGAGGAAAATGTGACACTGATGATGCACACGTGCACAGAGGACATGCTTTTACTTCAAAGATACAAAATGGTTTGTACAAACCCCCTCTCTCAATAGGAATGACATTTCTTTACAATCGGACCAAACTGGATTAAAATCTTCAGTTTGACATGTTTTTATGACACATTTTTAATCTGATCATTTGCGTCCATGTAAACATAGCTATTGTGAGAGAAAGGGACTAGAATAGTGGTCAATCTCACATGCTGGACAAGAACACAGCATTGCACGGTCAAGGGCGTGATGATGTCAGAAGCAGCTCCTATAGCAAATAAACCATGGCTAATAAAAAGTTCTTGAGAGGAGGGCTTCACTTTCCAAAATATGAAAAATAAGGAAGATATGAGAAGACAAGACTCCCAGGTGCCAGGCATTGGTACGGTTGGTTGGAATGTTAACGGTGCTTAGGCTAAACATGAAAGAGGTTTTTAGCTTTCAGCCTTTGTTATAAAACATGCTGGGGTGTTTACTCTTTATTTTTTTGTTTTAAAAACTATAAACAACTTCAAACTGAGCTGGCTGATCAATGTTATAATAAATAAATAAGAACAAAATGCTCTTGGCTTTTTTTAAACAGTTTTATATGTTTAAATATTCTTTCTCTTGGATGTTATGATTATATAATTGTGAGCTTCACTTTTTTTGGCAGAAAATCCTTTTCTTAAAGTTGCAGTGAAATTTTCTTAAGACTATCCCAGCTTTGAAAATTGTGAAGCTTCCTAAATTTCCTGACAGCCTTCTGCTGCATTGTGAGTTATTTTGACAGTCCCTTACTCTGTATTCTACATCCGTCGGAGGATCTGCTGCTGACTTGAGATGGCTGGTGATTGCCTGAGGGCTTTGAGCTTACAGGCACCTGGTTTTAAAGGCAAACCCTCAGAAAGAGAGCAGTGTATCCGATGACAGCATTGTCAGGTTAAAAGAAGGGGGAGAAGTTAATTGGTCAAGGGTAATTGAACCAAAATGAAGAAAAAAAAAAGAAAGGAGGTGGCTTGTATAAAAGGTGTAATGGTCTTAAATAAATATGCTGCCATCTTTCACTTTCATTGTTGAAACATGAGCTTTATAACCCTCTATCTTTGTGCTGTAAGGCAATATTTGTGGCTGAAAGGCAGTTCCGTGTAACCTGCAGGTTGTTATGTAGGAAATTCTTCAAAGTTGCCCACATCCCTGAAAAATGTAATACTTCCTGGATGTGGTGTACTTGTGGTTTGCTTCAGACCCCAAACTGGTCGTCTGTAACTTTACCTTGAGCTCAAAGGAACTTTATGCTCTCAAAGTTCAGATGATACTCTCTAGACATCAGCATGTCCCAAAGGTATTGGCTCAAAGCAGACAAACTGCTCTTATTCACAGCTTTTTTTTATATTTTATTTTTTAACTAGTTTCACATTTGCTTTATTAATTCATAACCACTTCATTGTAGCTTCACATTAATTATATATTGTAAGTTGCAATGAAGCCCTTTGCTGCTGAGGTGTTTATGTGCGATTGATGCTGTACGCATATGCAGGAGATACACAGCTTGTGTTGCACTGTCAATCAGCCGTAACATAAAACGATGTTGTACCCCTGCTGCTGTGGCACCTGTGGGACACGAGCCACCTGTCTGCCGCGTCGGGATGTACGCTCCCCGAGTTTTGGATTTCTGTGCGCTCTTATGAAATAAACATCAAACTCCAATCTCGTATCTCAAGGAGACAAGGACTGTTGTCATCTGCAGAAAACATCCCTGCATGTCATGGGGGACAAAACTAGCATGGAATGGCCTTTGCTGAAGCAAAGAAAAAAAAAACTATCTTTTAAGCATTTAACGTGTCGTAACATTCAAACTATGTTCTTTCTTTGCAGCGTTTAAAACTGCAAGGAATTCGGCGTTTTCAACATCACATTTTAAGTGTATTATATTGACTTTCTCATATACATTTAAAAGCCCATAAGGAGTACTTTCTGTTTTAGTTGAAGTTGCTCCTCTTCCTTTTTTCATACACTTTCTCTGTTTGGAGCTGTGCCTTTGGGCAACAGCTTGAAGTGAATAATGTATAAGCAAGAAGAAGAATCAGAAAACCTTTGTGGGCTTTCTGTCTCTCGGAGTCTTTCAGTTCTTTAGTCTACATTCCCAGCTTTTTCCTCAGTTTGTGTAATTTTAAACCAAAATCCTTCTGCCACTTTCTCTTGCAGTGAAATTTGTCAGCTGTGGCCGAGGTGGTCTGGTGCGGTTTGAATGCAGCAATCCATCTGACTATCGGATAGAAAACGATGGTGTAGTTTATGCTGCAAGGACTCTTCAGCGCACTCAAGCCCCTGCATCGCCCTTGCTGATCAAGGCTGTGGACACAACCACTCAGCAGCAATGGGTGACACAAGTCAAGATGATGCCTCCCACACAGGTGAATAATCTTAAGCTTCTCTGTAATGCTTACGTGTTTATATTTGTGTCTAGTATTAATGCTCATGAAATGCAAAACGATCATCTCTGCCCTTTCAGCAGATAAATAATGCATTTTATGCCTGCTGTACATTCACAGATGACTGCTTCTCTGAATTGCAGCAGGTGTTCCATGAGACAGGATGGATGCTTGCTTAATTAGAACTGAATGTGTCAATTTAGCAGCAGCACAAATGTTATACTGGCATGGTCAGTGGAGGGTAAGATCTGATGCAGAAAAGCTTTAGGTGAAGTTTAACTCTGAGGTCACAGCTTCTTCTTCCGGAGGAGGGAACACTTTTTTTTTTTTGAAGCAGTGGAATATTGGATGCATCTGTGTGAGCTGGAGAAATCTTCTAATTTAATGGTTTGTATGACCATGCATTTCATGTGTCCGAATTGGATTTGGCAGAAGATGTGTGGAATTTGACCAAAAAGAAAAAAAGCAGAGCTAATGTCATGTTTCTGTGAGCTGAAGCCTATAAGCTAAAGGGCTGCTCTGCTCCCAGACATTTACCCTCATTAAATGATGGTGCATAGAATAGAATTAGAAAAGAAAAGAATACAGCCAGGCTGTTTTCATTGGAGTATTAAGGTATTCTTACACTTTCTAAAGGGACAAGAGTAGGAATGTATTTGCATAAGTTGGTAATTATTGTTGTTAGGTCTTAAATTACTGGCCTTGTGTTTTCTTAATGAACAATCCCAAATGCACTAATCTGGCTTTTACAAAGTCCAATGTGCTTTTTATTTCAGCCTGTTAAATTACTTTAAAATGTGGATTTTTTTTTTTTCCGCGATTTCCAAGAAATAATCACAGGAAATGTTGGTGCCAAATTTGCATTGATGCAAAAATAAAACGAGAAAAAGGGTTTCCATTACACCAGCCTGTTCAGCAAAAATCTAAACATGTTCAGGCTGCAAAAACTGGACCTAGTTTTTGTAGTTAAACATTTTTTCCTTCATTAGAAGGACTTTCTTAATTCAATGCCAGTGAGAGAGAAGTACCACACATTTAGGTTTGTGTGTAATGTGCAGTTCCATACAAACCTAACTATTAAACAATAACCATCCCCAAAAAAGTTTAGAAGCCTGGTTTTCTCTTACTAGCTTGCAATTAAGAAAGCTCTTTGGATGAAGGATAAAATACAAAACCAAATTTCAATTGGTCTCCTGGATGACTAAGAATCTTAACTAGTATTTGATGGTTAAGATTTTAGTTTTTTTTAGATTTTATCGATTGAATGTTCATTTATTAAGCAGTCCTTTTCTTAAAGAAATATTTTCTCTCGTATCAGCAAGTTATTTCCATAACACAAAAAGCTAAACATTTTTTTCCAAATACACGTAGTAAAAACAAAACAAAAAAACATTACAATTCCTTTTCTACTATGTTGTACATGTTTTGTGTAATGCCCTCCGCTTTTCTATCAACACATCTTTGACCTCGGAGCACAGCAGAGACTTTGACTTTGTGCCTGAACTGATGGAGTTCATTTAGACTTTGCAAACAGAACCACAAAAGGTGCATTCTGCATCTTTGTCCCCATTAAACTGTGTAAATAATCCCCGACCGATCAATCGATTCACGTCTCTGCACTAACATGCCTCTGCTCTGGCATCACTTGCAAATACCAATGAAGCTGCGCCTAAGAATGAACAGCGTGGGCGGCAACACTACAACACACCGGTCAACTTTTGGCTGATAACAAGTGCTGGTTTTCTTTAAAGTCTAAACCTGTTTATTCTGATTTAATTGAATTCTTGTTTACTTTTTTTCTAAGGACTACAAACAAAAAATATGCTCCATGTCAGTTTGATAAAGGCTCTATCCCACACAAAATAATGGAATTCAGATATGAGTATGCACCCAAGCATTTGTCCTTGTATTGTGGGCCTGTTAACTGAAGAATTTACTGGAGTTCTGTTTTGATCTATACTATCATGAGGGAATTTTTATTATCTTGCAGACAAATTAGAATCAAATTGAGAGAAATTTGGCTCATCCTCATAAGCTTTCTGGAACATTTATACATGTACTTACTACTTTAATGCAAGTCAACTATTTTAGAGATTGGTTGTTACATGTAGACATAATTATTAACTCACTTGGATGTCTAAAGCTTTGAATTTTCTCAGCTTCAAAATGAGATTAGGGAACAACTTTTCCATGTGTCTCATCGATAACCCCCCCCCCCCCCCCCCCCCCCCCTCCAAGCTCTGTTATTGTCATAAATCATAACAAAACTTTTAATCACATCAGCAATTTCATTTTTTTTTAACTGCGCACTTAATGTACCAGCCTGAGGGAAACATTTTAATCAGTCGCAACCGAATAATATCCTCATAATATTACTACATTCCTTCTTGCCCTCTTTCTCCATCACTTCAGTTCTACCACACTTTGAGAAAACAGTGTTGGGAAATGGAAGATGGATCTTTTTTTTTTTTTTTTTTCCCTCTTTCCAAAAGGGCAACTACGCACACATAATCCTTCCAACACACTCACAAACACTCAGGCCATCACTCAGCCCAACACTCTCTGGGACTCTGAAGTAGACTTTTAATCTGGAGATGGTAAACAGGGGCTAAGTGTGGATGGGTACAGACCTCCAGTGCACCAGAGATGGATCTGCTCTGTGTTGGGCTGAACACATCCACCATGCCATTCATCATTCCAGATGCAAGTTCCAAATAATTACTGGTCTCACTCGAAGCCAATTTAATAGGGTAATAGATATTTCTGAGGCATGCTCCTTCGCTATCTGTCCTCATGCCTTCTCTGCATTTTCAGTGTGTGAAAGCAGTATAATCGGATTTCAAACATGATTAGTGAAAGCTCTGTGACATCTCCCCAGATGTTGGAGGAGGGGGAGTGTGGGATGTGAGTCATGTTATAAGGTGAAAAAGTGGTAATTAATTTCTGTGTTTGCACGAGGCGCTACATTGTAGTTTGGAATACTTGACTACCTAACAAGCCGTCAGTGTTCAGATATCAACAGAGACTTCTAAGTAAGGCTGCTGAAAGGGAGTGGCAGCTTGAAGAAAAAAATCTTATATTTTATTTAATAACATTGACAGACTTTTCATATGAAGTTCTTTTCTGTTTTCCTTGCGATTTTATTCAATTCGAGGGTGTTTTAACAGTCTCTGGCAGTACTTCAGCCTTAGACTCTGGAATAGTATAGGCAATTTGAGCCATGTGCGTGCATAGTGTCTGGCTCTCAGGTACCACCCTCCTTTGTTTCAAATCTTTTTCATTACTGCTGAGGGAGGATGGCAGATCCATTATGGAAGCCGGTATATCTGTGTGGGTGTGTTTTATCAGCGCATAAAGAAGAGCTCTGCCATTTAAAACAATCCGGTATTGCAGGACTGAGGCTACAGAAGCAATTTCTAGTTTCAAGGCATACCCACACATATGTACTCTTTGAATTTAAAGCTTCAAAGACAACCAGAACAGATGGTCTCGTCTGATTAGACGAGGGTTGAAATAGGCATTGAATAACATTTAAACTGGAAGCCTGTTTGTTTTATAGTTTCTTTCTTATTAACCTTTCCAGAAAGGGCCAGTGTCAGTCTTTGCACTAAGGTCAGGATTTCTTTTCATCCAAGCCGAATTTGTGGTTTTAGTCTTGAAATACAAGCCCTTGGTTTGTGAAGTGGGATTCATTTCTTTTACCTACATAGCATAAAATATGTATGCTAATTAGCTTACACTCTACATCAAACTGCACAACAAATGTTAGTAAACACCAACACTTGCACCAGTGAGTTTTCTAGCCAGTTTCTGATCTTCAGTTTTTGCAAAACTGTCCATTGCCATTACTAACTTTAACTAATTCCAAGTGTTTTTATGTAACTATAATTAATAGCATTAAAAGGTTTTCTACCGTAGCTGAAGTAAGCAGTCATTCATTTAAAGAGCACAGGACACACCATATCTGAGATACAGTTGCTGTAAAGCATTATTAGTATTCATAATGGTACATTCACACGGAATGTGTTTTGAGTGTCAAAAAGGCACCCAACACTTCAACTTGGACAATAGTCCACACTGAAGTAGATGCACATAAAGAGCTTTGATGCTTTGGATGCTTGATGCTCCTGATGGCCGTCACGAGCGTTGAGCTGCTCTGTTCTTTTTTCTTTACCCGTCTCTTATACTAAGGCTGACACAAGCGAGAGACTGGCTTGGCTTCACTTGTTTTGATGATGGGGGATATTTTAACATCACTTTAAAAGGGAAAGTAAACCTCAAAACATCATGTTTGCCGTAACAGTATTTAAAAGAGGGATCATACACCCAAGGGGTGTATGATCAGGGCATGCCCCCCACTTGCCTACCTTTTGAAAGTGTGGGTAGTCTCCAATGAAACCTCAGGCCGGGGGTTTCCCATTGCCGTTCATAGGTGGCATTTATCACTTTGTATGCTGTGACATAAAACAAATGCACAGCTCCCAACACTGGTAGTGCTTCTGCTTTTAATGCTCAAATCATGCCACAGGACCTCTTGATGGCCCTTTACATCGTCAACCACTTTGCATTTAAACCGAACCTTGATGCCCAAAACGCTTTTGGTATGAACGCATTCTAGCTGTACGTAAGATTCTCCCCATGTATTTATTCCCTATTTATATCTACCTAGAACTGAAATAAAACTACAAATAGGGATACATAGGCACCTACAGCCACAGATGTTTCAAAAACGTATTGGCTTTATCTGCAATGTCTCAAACCGTGGCAATGAGAGACTATTTCCTGCAAAAACTTCTAATATACCAATGATTGGATGATAGTGAAACAGTAGCCAAGATGGTGGCTAGCTAATCCATTCACATTTATAGTCAGAAATAGGAAAGGCATGTAAGGTTCCACATGGAAATGAGATGGGTAGACAAAATGAGTGCAGCTTTTATACTTGGTGCAGCTTTGCCTCCTATACCTGATATTCCCGCCAACCCCATGAAGTTGTGTAAAGCACAAACCGCAAACTTACAACACCATATTACATGCAAAAGTAGGGTGAGTAATATCTTTTGAAGATTTATTTAATAATTTGTTGACTACGATGATATTTATGGGCTAAATCACAAGATCTTAATGTTTGTATACAAACACCCGCCAGAGGGAGCTGTTGCTTGTCCACCATGTTTTTCAAACGAAGATGTCTACGTGGTTACAGATTTTCCAAGGTCTGCAGGATGGAAAATCTCTTTGTGCGACGCCATGCGGAAAGGCTCAAATGGGGTATTTTTATCCATGCCAAGCATAAATTAAGCATTAGCAAACATCACTGTATCTGTTCAAAGTTCAAAAACCTTTCAAATTTGCTGACTTGTTTGCCAACATGCGTTAAGACAAGTAAAAGCACTTTTAGGCCAATATCAATTTATTTTTCCGTATTTAGTTCCAAGCATTAAAAATATACATATAATTTAGTTGAAACATTTTAAATGATCAAAACTACTTTTATAATGATTTTATTATGGTCATTACTTTTCTTGCTGTAATTCTCTATTAAAAAATATGTTGATTTTACTGTTATTTTTAGTATTAGTATCTCAAATTTTAAGTAAAAATGTTATCTTAATTTAAATAATCTTTAAATCAACTATTAAGTGCTTGTGAATATTAGCACTCTGTTTTATTTAACAATATGACACACTAACAAAGCAACAAACATTTCCGTTTGTCTGGTGATATCTGCAAATTAAATTTATTGCATCCCTAATTCTAGAAACTCTGCCCCAAATAATGTAGACCCTAGTCTCAACTCTGAGATTTTCAAAGTCTCTAAATATTTCAAAATCCAGCATGTTCCATGGCAGAAGTTGAAAGTTCAAGAAGGTCAGAATTATGAAAATTTGCTTAATAGAGACAGTGCTCCTGATATCTATTGACACACTGCTAATTGTGTATATACTGTAAGGTGTAATGCAGTCAGTGTACAGACCACAAACATTGTGGTGTTAGAAGTGACATTAGTCATTGGATTACCAAAGTCTTTAGGAATTCTTTGGTCAAGTGTGAAATTGTTGTTGAGCTATTTATGTCTACTGCAAAACAACTGGTAGATAGACACTACCAACCTCAGTTATTCCTCTGTGGTGTTTAAAACATCTTTACTCACACTTCACTACATTACTATGATCATTAAATCATTTCCTTTTGGCAGGTCCAGGAACTCGCCGTCCCTTCAGGCATGGCCAAAAGGTTAAAGGAAATAGTGTTTCCATCACAAAATGCAGACGGCACGCTGAAACGCAGCAAACGAGAGTGGGCCATCCCTCCAATCAATGTGCCTGAGAACTCCAGAGGCCCATTCCCACAGGAGCTCGCCCGGGTAATGTATTTGACTCCACCGGATGCATGCACACAATCACCAGTCTATCAGCTTTGAAACAGTCTACTCCCTTTGTTTTTCTTGATACGATGATTTTGTGAGTTGCAAGTTCCAGCTTTTTTCTGACATTTTTTTTAAACTTTAAATTTCACAGAGCAGAACTGTGGTAGTGCAGCATGGTGTTTTTTAGAAGCTTTTGTTGTCTGAAGCGATGAAAATAATTGTTGGGTGACCGCTAAGAATCTGAAGTCCCAGGAAAAGGTGCAACCCAATTACTTAGCAATAATACAGTCCTTTATGTTAGCTATTGCACAAACAACTCTTTGGACAGCAGAAACCTTTTCAACCAGCTGAAATTTACATTTAAAGTGCAAAATTCAGAGATTGCCATGTGTATTTTTCTTTAATTATAATCTGGCTTTATGGAGTGTATGTTTCTCAGCTTCAGTTGCTGGTTGTGAGAGAAGGAAACGGTACGTTGCACGGACAATGATACAGCCACAGGTCTCAGCTTACATGGAAAATGGGAATTAAAGTCCAAATACAACAACTTCCCTGCTATGCAGGAACTTGTTCTTGTTTAACTGCAGCTACATTTTTAAGATTGAGGGAGAAACAGTTTTCCTAGATGTGGAATTCTGACATTTACAATGTGTAAAAACGATATGCTGAAGTCTTTTTCTCCCCCCTCCCCACAGATTCATTCAGATTTTGATAAAAACCGACCCCTGAGGTATACTGTGACGGGTTCAGGTGCTGACCAGCCCCCTACTGGAATCTTCACCATTGACCCCATTTCTGGAGTATTATTCGTCAACAAGGGTCTTGATCGAGAGCACATTTCCAGTTATCATGTAAGTCAGACACTGCGTTTTTATAAAGCTAGAAGAATTTGAATTTAACCCAAAAAAATGTCTGTTAACTGCTTTGGCTAAAGAATTGTGTTCTCTTGCACCCAGTACATTCCAGCTAGTTGGCATGTGCTCAGAGGTCATGTGTAGCCTAAACAATCTCCTCAGACTCGATAAAAAACAGACTTTCAGGGAAATCTTTCTTATCCGTCTGAGAATTTAAAGGATTATGACTTTGTCAGATGCTTAACATGACCTTCAGCTGTATTTACCAGGACCTTTTTCCCATGTTCTGCTTAGTCTCCTTTAACTAAATGTACGTAGTTTCTTGAATACTTATCCAGTTTAGACAGTTTATTTTCTTTTCAAGCCCTTTTTTAAGAACATAAAAAGACTGATGTTACATAATGAAGGGAAATTGTTTTCTTGATTTTCTGTGTATAGATAGTTGCACATATGCCAGAGAGGTGAACACAGGGTTTCTGTATATATATATAATCTTATGCCATGTGAATGCAGAGCAGATGGAATAACAAAAGACCCCTTCTGTTATTCCTTATGTCTGGTTAAAAAATTTATTTTTCAGCAATTTGAAGTTATTTCTTACAAATTTACTCATCGCTATAAAGGTTTATTAAAAAGATGTTCTGAAAAGGTTTTATTTCTTCAAGAAACTAATCCATTTAATTTTAAATTGCATATTTCTGCATGAAGAGTTGATATCCAGTAGTCTGCAGGTTTATGCTGGGTCTCAAAATTTTTTAAATTTCCTTCAATTAAATAATACTTTTAAAATTAAAAAGCTATTTAATCCTTTTTTCATTATTTGATGAATGTTTTATGTTGTTTTCCATCATAATTTTTCTTTAATCATATTTATTTTTAAAAAAATTCTTTTTTTGGAACCATTCAACAACCAACATTTATTTAATCTTTTTTTTTTTTCCCTCCAGTTGAGAGCTCATGCAGTAGACCTGAATGGCAACCAAGTGGAAAACCCCATAGATATTGTGATCAACGTTATTGACATGAATGACAACCGACCTGAGTTCACTCACCAGATCTGGAATGGAAGTGTTCCAGAGGGTTCCAAACCAGGTAAGGCTTTTGCAAAGTTCTATTTATTTATGGATGTTTGTGCTTCCAGATTCAGTCTTACTATAATATTAGCAGAACAATCTGTGCTACTTGTCATTTTATGCTTAGAAAGATGATCACTGGATTTTGATTGACAAAAGAATGTGGCATTAATATATAATTTTTTGATCTGTCTCAAAGGAACATTTGTCATGACTGTAACATCTATTGACAAAGACGACCCCAAAACGTCAAATGGAATGTTTCGATACATGATCATGTCCCAGAACCCAGAGAGCCCATCCTCTAATATGTTTACGATCAACAACAACAACGGAGAAATCATTACAGTGGCTGCAGGCCTGGACAGAGAGGTATTTACATACATATAAATATATATATAAATTTTTTCGAGGGGTGACATTGTATTTTTTTTTCAAGTTGTATGACCTGATTTACCCATAGACAATATTTTTCTCCTCTGGTTTTTTGCTGTTTAATACAGAAACGTGTTTCTATATTTGCCTAAATGGGCTGAGTTTTTAAACGGGGACTTGGAAGTTTAACTGTTAATATTCCAAGTGTCTCAGAAATAATGAGCCGCAGCAAATTTAGCTTATTGCCACCTAAGTGAGAAGTAGAAGTTGGCTTGCTTGTTTTGCACTCATTACTCTTAGGAGGCACCATGCATTACTAATCAGCTAAATGTTTCTCTTCGCACCAATTCTGCTTCTTTTCTTTTTTTTTCAAAAAATAACATTTTATTGTTTTCTCTCTTTTCAGTATTTATGCCGCGAAGGTTAGCACTCTTTATAAATTGGGATTGCTAAATTGAAGGCTGTTTGAGGAAATAAATACTAAGATGTATACAGCTGGAGCTTGGTAGTTGAATCCTTGTGAGGGCAATCTGGCTGAGGTGGCTGCTCAATCACTTCCACCCTGGGGCCACCGTTTTATGTCTGCAAGTCGCCACCATGAAAGTAATTTGCCTGGCTCTCATTACCTAGCAACTGGTCCATCACCTGAGCGGTTTTTAATGTGAAAAGAATCATTTGTCCCCTTCATGGTGATTCAATATGCGTGTCTCATGCACGCACATAATCACTGATTAGCCCCTTAAGATCAAGTTAAATTCATGTGAAAAACTTGTAATTTATGACAAACAGGTTGTTAGACTAGTCATATTTTTTGTAGAAATGATTAACAAAGTGCAAATGTACAATGTAGTATTATCTCATAAGTGCTGGCTGTGAAGCAGAATAACATTTTAGTGAGGTAATGTGAAAATCATGTCTTTATAAAGTTTTAGGTACAGATTCTTTTGGAATTATTATGCATTGACTCTTCAATTATCTCATTATTTCTTCTTTTTTCTTTTCTTTTTCTTTTTTTTTTTTTTTTAGAAAGTGCCTCAGTACACTTTGATCATCAAAGTGACTGACATGGAAGGAAACCCTATGTACGGCCTGTCCAACACAGCCACTGCTGTCATAAGCATCACTGGCATCAATGGCAGTCCATCAGAGTTTGCACCTGAGATGGTAAAAAGCAAGCTCTTCTCACATGTAAAGAACATGTTATTTAAAAGACTTGTTTCTGTTGTGTTCTGTTAAGACCCACTTAAATCTTTAGGAGATATGATAATTAACTACACCCACTCATCTCGACTCATGACCACACCCCAATGCATAGGAAAGTGCATGAGTAGGGGGAAGTGGACTGGCTTCTACTACACAGGATTCCTCCTGTTCCCATTAACAGGCTTCTGATTTGGGACTGTGGCCTTGAGTTGAAATGATAAAGAGATGTGGTCAGTTATCTTATCTACTAAGATTTAGGTCTTCGGTTATGATTTACACTTAAGTTTTTTTTTCAATAAAATTTAATTTAAGATGTATATTAAGATTTAACATCCATAACCCATATCTACATGTGAATATGTCTGTGTGCAAGAAGGCGTTGTTCAGTTAGTGTACAGGCTACAAAAATTGTGGTGCAAGAAGTAACATTAGCTACTGGATCACTAATGTTGCATGCAAGCTGAGTTGTCATGCTATTTATTCGTTCACATAACAGCTATTGTATATCCAATTCTTACTGCTCCCCTTTCGACCTTTCGCGACAGACCAAGCTATCGCTTATGGTTTGTCAGAAAGTGCTATTTCATCTATGAAAGAGAACCCAAAAGAGGTAAAAGCACAAGTTGTGTGCTTTCGCATGCCATCCGCTGCCATTTGATTTAGTACCATGATTGGTTAAACCAATCTTGGGTAGTTGCCGTTTAAGTGTCACCTCATCCAATCAACTCGTAAAGTTCTGCTGATTGTCAATCGTTTTCCTGCACAGTTTTAACTGAAGCATTTCAGATGAATAATGTGTAGAACTAAAGCTGAAAAATACATATGATCCATCTGGGTAACCAAGTTACTGAATTAACAAAGTATTCAGGAATTCTTTTGTCAGGTGTGAAAATATTCTTCAGCTGTATGTCTGTTGCAAACCAACCCAGAGATAGATACTACTAACCCCCTAGCTATTCCTCCTTGGCGTTTAAAACACCTCTACTCGCACTTCACTGCATTACTATGATCATTAAATCATTTGCTTTTTGCAGGTCCAGGAACTCGCTGTCCCTTCAGGCATGTCCAAAAATTTAAAGGAAATACTGTTTCCATCGCAAAATGCAGACAGCACACTGAAACGGAGAAAAAGAGACTGGGTCATCCCTCCAATCAATGTGCCTGAGAACTCCAGAGGCCCATTCCCACAGGAGCTTGTCCGGGTAATGTATTTGACTTTACCGAATGCATGCACACAATCACCGGTATATCTATATATATATATATATATCAGTACATTAGTACACATTTTATTTGCAGATTCCATAGATCAACGCTTGCAACATATTTCTGAAGCTTTATCACCTTTTTGATTGCAGTATTTATTAGAATGCCGATTTATTGGCCAGCCCTTCAATTGGAAAGTTTTCTAAATTTTGGTGACCGGCCGATACTTAAATGTGAAACTGATCTTTTCCACCAATCTGATCCACCTCTGTAAAGATAAAAAAAAAAAACAACCACTGTAAATGCCTCACACTTTAATGTAGATTTGAGAGCAGTTATTTCAGTAGGTTTTAATTTTCGCTGGCAGTGATTATTTTTTTGTTTTTGTTTTTTCTCTAAGATAGAAATAAGATAAGATTGAAATATCTTATGATCTTATAACAGCTGACACTGTTGGTTGTAAAAAGAAATCTGTATCATTCAAAATCAACATGTCAGGCTTTTTAAAGACTGGGAATTGTGACCTGCCAGGAACCTTTAATCAGTGTTCCCCTAGTGTTTACTCACTGGTACACTGACCAGCCTGTAGTGCATTCTGGCCTTCTTAATCTGAAGTGCTGAAAAATATAATTGTCAGGTGAACACGAAATGCACTTTTTACCTCTCAAGGACGGGAGTTGCAAAATTTCTCTTCAACAACTCAGTCCTCAGTGAGTGTTAGCTGTTAAACAACTAATTCTTGTGACAACTTGGATGCAGGAACCTTTTTCAAACAATTTAAATTTGTACAAAGTGAAAAATTCTCAGATTGGCATATGCACTTTTTCTTATTTTGGCTATATGAGGTAAAAGTTTCTGTGATTCAGTTGCTGATTACAGGAGGAAATTGTATATTTGTTTCTGGATGGATCAAGGGTCTTTGCACAAAAGGTCTCAGGTGACATATAAAATGGAAATGAAAGTCCAAATATGACAGAACTTCTTTACACTGTAGTGACGCATTTCATCTCCACTTGTCACCTGCTTTCAAAGACATTTGGGATGACAGGCGCTCAATTTGGGAAAAAGGAAAAGGTGCATCTTATGCGCCACATGGGAACAGACTCCTGTGTTGCTAGTGGGATTTATTAAAGGCAAAGCTTAAACAGCATCTGTATATTCATATAAGCCTTTTAAATCAATGCTCTATATGCAGATTTTTAATAATGTTCAACACTCTACAGCTGAGTATCTCTAACAATCAAACTGGCAACAACAGAACAGAGGGTACCAATGCTACCTTAACATCCTTAGAACAGCAATGTCAATTTAACGAAATTGGAAACAAACTTCAGGGGGGGGGACATTGACTGGTTCAAAGACCAGAGACTTGACCCAGTCTGTCTTTTGCCCAAAGACATTTAGCATCATCATTTTCTTTCTCCTGCTTTAAAAGAGCTTCCTCCTTGGTGCCATGTCTTTGAAGATTCTGACAACCTCACTATGCTTGATGTGATTGACACAAAATATCAGAAGCTTGCACCCCCTGCCAACATCTGCTAATGGCAAAGTACAATGTGATAGTGAGCAGCTGTCCTGAACCATCTAGAGATATGACCACTTAGGGGAAAAATAAACTAAATGCAAGCATGAATTTAAAGTGCATTTGATATTTTTTAAAGAATAAAACGGCACCAAGTAAAATTTTTACCTTATTGTATCCTCTTCTAAAGGCTGATTTATACTTAGAAACCAGGTCGTCTGTGTGTGTTGCAACGAATACACTTGAAAAACGATCTAGAAATAAGCAAAAATTTCATAAATTAAGTGTATTTACCTATGATTTGAGTACGTAAATAAAAATAATTTCTCAATGGAATTAGTATTTTTACTCTTAAAATAAGATAATTAGATAATATGCACTTGAAATAAGATAATGCGATTGTTTTTTCTTATTTTAAATCTAAATTGTCTTGTTCCATTGGCAAAATGTCTCTTTTAGCTCCTCAATTCAAGAACAAGTGCACTTATTTTAAGAAAAAATGGCTTATCTAGATTTAGATTTTTTTTTCCAGTGTGCAAATGTGTCCCCGCCCCTTCCGCAGACACTCTGGCGCACATCTCCAAAATTGTAGGCGACTGCAGACAGTGCCGCAGACAGGAGGGATCTGATTGATAAAATCTACATCCGCTCTACACTATAAAGGTTTCCTGTTTGGTACCTTACCAGCTTGTTTTGTTTGTATGATCACCATCGTAGAAAACGACTCGTGAAGAGGTACCAGCTAGAAAAGCGGGGTGCGTGAGAATGCTAGGACCCTTTTTCCACCTGGATCCACTGCTCTTTTTCGCCTTAATGTCCATCCGTTGTCGCACAAACTTGCCCCCACTTCCTCACCACCTTGGCCATATCTAGACCGACGGCTAATCCGTGATTGTCCCTCTTGCGTTTGCCGTGAAATAACAGTGCAGACCACGCTTCAATATTGGGCATAAATCAAAAATATCTGCGACAAGCTCACTGCCACCCACTGCTGTGAGAGTATAACAAACCCTCAAGTCCCTGTGATGGTGATGTAAGTGTTTTTGAGACCACTCAGGGATCTGTCATCTCCCCCTACTGTCTCTGGCTGAAAAAACCAAACTTGGAATTTTTCATGCCATCTCCCCCCTGGCAGTAACCTATAAAGGCAAATAGCTGTATGGCAGCCCAATGTAATTCCATCAGCATCAAAATCAGGGCCCTTGCTGCACCACTTGTAGCTAACCATAGCACACTTTTAGAGGTTTATAATGTGGGGAAAACCAGCAAAAAATGGCAAATAGTGACAGCATGCTGTGACTGTTAGTGTGTACGAGCAGTGTTTAGGATAGTGGTGTTTTCAAAAGATGCTGTACGGGAAACACCATTAGAGAAAAAACTTTGTTCTGCTTTAATAAAGCAACAAAATAATTTTAGATTGATATGAGAGTGGAAAATTGTCTTACAACCAACCTTTAAACTAAACTGAGTTGAATTTTAAAATTAAGTTACACTTTTTTTTTGTGTTCACATCACTTTGTACTTTTATGACAAAATATCCTCTGCACCAAGTGACTATATCTAATAAAACAGGCTACTGTTGCAAACGTACCAGATACGATTTTCATTAACTTGAGATTAAAAATGAAAATTCTACACCTTAATTCAGTTATACCCCAAAAAAGTTTTGAAGTTGTAGCAGTAAAATTTTCATTTTAGTTCAACTAAAGTTTATGTGCGCTTACAAACATGAATAAAATATTCTTAAATTGCAGTAGTTATTCTACAAGGTAAATTACAATATTTTTATAATAGCAAAGTGTCCTTTTACCCTACATCCACGTGGCTTGAAAATGAAACCCCAGCACAGACTATGGCCATAAGATGAATCATCTCTTCTTTTTAAATTATTAAGAGTTAAGATTAACGAGATTAACTAAAAGTCAGGAGGACTGGAAAAGAAGATATTGACCATATGATTTTCACATTATAATACACACATACAAAAATGGAGAAAACAAACTTATCCACACGTCCCACTTCCAATCAGAATTTTATTTTTGTTAAAAAATATGACTTGTAATGTTACCCAGCTCATTTGGCCTTATGATTCTATTTAAATAAAATGTTTCACAGAGGTAGCCTTTAAACTGTATTTGTTATAGAAAAAGACACGAATCGAATGGAAGTCATCAGGGACCATTATAGCAAATGTAATAACTTTCATCTATCTGATGTATTGGAATTTCTTTTCCCCCTATATGGGACTTGTGTTTGTTCAGACTGTCTGTGCACATCCCTGATGTTTCTTTACTGCAGTTACATTTTAAATTGAACTAGTAAAAAAGCTTTTGGTTTAGATGTTATTCTTTTTTTAGTTTAATCCATCTTAACTAGCTTTGCATGCAGTCAAAAACAGGAGTTTGTTTCTATCAATTTTGAGGTCTGGGAAAGTATGAATATGCTTTGGTTTTACAAAAAGTTTTCCTTTTTTTTGTTTATTTTGTTCCCGCAATTACATTTCTCAAATTTAAGTTTACGTTATTTGTTAAAATTATACCAGTTTAAAAAGGAACTGTGCTTCTTAAACTGGATCTGGTTAAAACAGATATAGTAATAGATGAGCTTTAAGTTTGTTCAAAAAAAAAAAAAGAAAAGAAAAAGAGCTGCAAACAGACAATCCGATCCGTTTAAAATCCTCCAATTTTTTGATATGGAATATTGACATTCAAAATAAGTAGACACTATATTAGTGAACAGTTTGAGTATATAGGAATGATACCCAAGTGCCGAAACTTAAACTTTTTTTTTTCTTCTTCCCACAGATTCGTTCAGATCATGATAAAAACCGATCCCTGAGATACAGTGTGACGGGTCCAGGTGCTGACCAACCCCCGACTGGAATCTTCACCATCGACCCCATTTCTGGAGAATTATCTGTCAACAAGCCTCTTGATCGAGAGCACATTAACAGTTTCCATGTAAGCCAGACACGGCATCTTATTAAGGCTTTGAGAATTTCAACCGTGTGTATATATTAAAAAAAATAAAATAATTCCAGACTGTTTTTACTAGTGAAATGTGTTCTCTTGCACGCTGTATTTTGTGCTTAAGGGTCATGTGTAGCCTAACCCCCTATTTTAACTTCTTCCGGCTCCTCTCCTCCCAGCTGTGAACTCTGCAGCAGATATGCAGCTATTATAATCGAGAGCAATTACACTGCTTTCAGAGCAGCACAGGGCGGCACCAGCAGAAACTGGTTGATCTCAGCATCCAGTTTTAAAACCATTCACTAAAGGGAGACCACATTGGCAGACTCTTCTTTTGAACCATTCGACAACCAACATTTATTTTTTCATTTACATTTTAATGTCCAATAGTCTGCAGGTTTATGCTGGGTCTTACATTCCTAAAATTCCTTCAATTAAATAATCTTACATTTCATTTTTACATTGATTATAATCATATTTACTTTTAAAAATTTCTTTTTTTGGAACCATTCAACGACCAACATTTATTTAATCTTATATTTTCCCCTCCAGTTGAGAGCTCATGCTGTAGACCTGAATGGCAACCAAGTGGAAAACCCCATAGATATTGTGATCAACGTTATTGACATGAATGACAACCGACCTGAGTTCACTCACCAGATCTGGAATGGAAGTGTTCCAGAGGGTTCCAAACCAGGTAAGGCTTTTGCAAAGTTCTATTTCTTTATTGATGTTTGTGCTTCCAGATTCAGTGTTACTATAATATCAGCAGAACAATCTGTGCTACTTGTTATTTTATGCTTAGAAAGATCATCACTGGATTATGATTGACAAACTAATGTGACATTAATTGGTATTTTTTACTCTTGTCTCAAAGGATCATTTGTCATGACTGTAACATCTGTTGACAAAGACGACCCCAAAACAGCGAATGGAATGCTTCGATACATGATCATGTCCCAGAACCCAGAGAGCCCATCCTCTAATATGTTTACGATCAACAACAAAACTGGAGGCATCATTACAGTGGCTGCAGGCCTGGACAGAGAGGTATTTACATGTTTTCCCTTTTTTTTTTTTTTTTTGAGGGATGGGGGTGGTCATTAATATTTCTATTTACACAAATCGTATGACCTGATTTACCCATAGACAGAATTTTTCTCCACTGGCTTTTTGCTCTTTAATACAGAAATATATTTCTATATTGACCTAAACAGACAGAATGTTTAAAGCTTGTAAGGTTAACTTTAAATATTCTGTGTCTCAGAAATAATTAGCTGCAGCAAATTTAGCTTATTGCCACCTAAGTGAGAAGTTGAAGTTGGCTTGCTTGTTTCACACTTACTACACTTACAAGGAGGTGAGATGTGTCACTTAGCAACCAAATGTTTCTCTTCCTACCTATTTTTTCCCCTAAAAAAATCTATTTAAAAATTTTTTTCTTTCCATTATTCATACTGCAAAGGTAGCACTCTTTATAAATTGGGACTGCTAAATTGAAGGCTGTTTGAGGAAATAAATACTAAGATGTATACAGCTGGAGCTTGGTAGTTGAATCCTTGTGAGGGCAATCTGGCTGAGGTGGCTGCTCAATCACTTCCACCCTGGGGCCACCGTTTTATGTCTGCAAGTCGCCACCATGAAAGTAATTTGCCTGGCTCTCATTACCTAGCAACTGGTCCATCACCTGAGCGGATTTTAATGTGAAAAGAATCATTTGTCCTCTTTATGGTGGCTCAATATGTGTCTCATGCACGCACACAAACACTAATTAGCCCCTTAGGATGAAGTTAAATTATGAGAAAAACTTATTTATCATAATTAAAGATGCTGGACGAGTTACATTTGTTTCAACTTTATAAAATAGTTAAACACAGTGCAAATGTACATTTCAATAACATCTTATTAGAGATAGAAATGTATGAAAATTTTAATGAAGTCATTTGAAAAACTTTGACTTTGAAAGGTAATTGGTAAACTGGTAAATGTGGAATCATTGTCCTCCAACTTAATTATTTTACCTTCTCTTTTTAGAAAGTGCCTCAATACACTTTGATAATCAAGGCGACTGACATGGAAGGAAACCCTATGTATGGCTTGTCCAACACAGCCACGGCTGTCATCTCAATCACAGACATAAATGACAACCCACCGGAGTTTGTCCAAGACAAGGTAAGAAACAATCTCCTATCTAAGTGTCTACAGACTTGAGGTTCCCAGTTTAATCCAGCTGTTGAGTCTATCCACTAAATTTTCAGCACTGTTCGCTTGCCAGGTTTTGCTGTCCCTGCACTTCTGTAACTATATGCACACACAAGTCGCCAGCCGTGTGTAAAGTGTTATATCCTCCTTCAAATGTTGACGCATACAACTTCAGGGATGTCTGCCTCAGTAAAAGAGGCACTTACCGGCCTCACAGATCACAGAAATTTGTAATGCTGCTGGGATGCTATCTGGGAAGCACAGGGAATTTAAACACTGTGACCTGATAAGTTACCTAGTTGTCTGTTTACCCTTGATTGCCACTGTTGTGCTTTGTGAGTCGTGGCACAGAGCGGTCTCTCTAACAGCTTTCTGCGCCTTACATTTATTGTTTATTCATGCAGTTTTCTGGGGATGTGGATGAGAATGCCGTGAATGTAATAGTGGCCAACCTCAGCGTGACTGACAAGGACCAGCCCAATACTCCTGCATGGAATGCAGTGTACAAAATCACCGGGGGCGACCCCACCGGCAGGTTCTCTGTGCCCACCGATCCAACTACTAATGAGGGTCTGGTAACAGTTGTCAAGGTATGCAACATTTTCAAAGTCTTTATCTTTCACCCCATTTAGAGATGAACTGATTATTTTATTTGAAGAATATTGCATTTAACAAATGCAAATTTTGAATTTGAGCTGAAGAAAATTAAACAATCACTTTTTCTTTTTTTCCTTTTTCTTTTTTTTGATTATATGTAAAATTATACAAGTAATGTGAAAAGCATTTATAACTGTGAACATTTAATTTTGGCAAAATTTTTAATTGGAATTAATAAATGAAAATGAAATAAAATATATATATATATATATATATATATATATATATATATGTGTGTATGTGTAACTGATCTACATTAAAATGGCTCATTGAATTCTGCCAAAGGCATTCATGAAGTGCATGCTACCTCCAGAATTTAAAATTACAAGTTAACTTCTTTTTTTTTTTTTTTTGGTAAAACCACTCGAAATTTGTCTTCTTACTTAAAATTTAAAAAAAAAGTTATAAATTCTTCTTTTATTTTTACTAATTTGTTACTGTGTTTTGCTGCAAAAAAATGTCCCAATTCCAATTATAAATATCCCACTTTAACAATATAGTGTCTCCATAAATCCAACCTTGGGCTAATAGCATCTGTGGATAATATAAAATCTGTGTTTTGAATTTCCCTTGTGATGCGAAGATCCTGAGGTTTTTAAAAATGTATCACCACTCTAGCTCTAGAAATGAAATGAATGAAATAGGCTGGTATGCCAAGAATTACCTCCCCTCTCGCACAATCAAGAGAAAACAGATTGAAATATAAATGAAAAGGGGACTTTTAAACATATTCTTAATGTTTTCATATTTCTTATGAATGGATGTCCTAATATTGAGAGTTTTGGTGGACAGATAAATGTCAAACACCTGCCTGCCGAGAATTACCTACGTCACAGGAACGTGCATCGCCCAAAGTCTCACACATTGATGACAAAACTGATTGAAATATAAACGGAAAAGAGAACTTTTAAAAATATTAATGTTTTATCAGAAATGATATAGAATGCTGTTGATGGTAAAAACATGAAATGCATCCACTGAGCAGAGAATATACAGTATCTCCATACAAGTCAAAATCGTATGTTAGCTCCCCTGTTAGCTTGCCAGTGTACATTCCAAAAAGTTAACATTAATAACAGTTTCCACTCAATGATTTCACAAACTGACAACGTTCTCTCTTTGAAAAAAAAAAAAAAAAGTCATGACTGTTGGTGTGTGCACTAACCAGTGAAGGAAAGGCTGGAGTGAAGCAGCTATGCTCCATGGAGCCGTACTTAACTCTTAATACCAGTTTCTTTTGCCCATGTTACTCAATAAACATAAAACCCTATAAACATACTAATAAATCTGTGTATTAAGCAATACATATATGATACTTTGCTTTAATCATTAAGATTCTTTCCTGGTCAAGTATCAAAATTTCCATTTGTATCGATGTTACATCAGATTTCAAAGGGTTTTAAATGGTGGCAAATATTTTGTCCGTTCATATTTCTTGGCTGTTAAATTTTTTGGCTATCAAAAAAAATAAATCCTATTTTGTAGGTTGCTTTGTACTTGCTATCACACAAATGAAATTCTAATCTGATAACTTTTATCTTTTTGTTTTCCCTGCTCCTCTCTGTTTTCCAGCCCATTGACTATGAAACCAACAGGTTGTATTTGTTGACAGTGGAAGCAAAAAATGAAGTTCCCCTGGCCAGAGGGATTCACTCTCCCAGACAGTCCACTGCCACTGTCTCCATCAGAGTAAGGGATGTCAACGAGAGTCCTTTCTTTGACCCTAACCCTAAACTTATCAAGCTTGAGGAGGGGTTGATGCCCGAGTCCCCTTTGACTACTTTCACTGCACAGGATCCCGACAGATTCATGCAGCAAACTATCAGGTAGGCACTGCAGTTTCCATGAAATGTTAAAGATTTTTGTTCACATATTTGGCTTTCCAAGCATTTTATGTTTTGACTGTGGCATTGCTTAATATTTCCATATCAAGGACCGGAGGTTTCTGTATAGCTCCAAACTTAAACCAACAGAAATGCTACTCTTCAGTTTTTACCAGCTTGACACCATTTATGATGAATTAATATTTTTCTTAGGAAAAAAAAATGGGAGTTGGAAAGTAAAGCTTAGTTGTAGTACAACTATCTTTTAATTCAATGTTAATAATAAAACTGCTCTTTTGTTCCGTACAAACCATTAATCAGTAATGCAATTAAATTCTAATTCATGTCGGCTTTTTTAGAATCCCTTTTCTTCCCTTTAAAAAACTGCTCCACAGTAAAAGTTCAGCCTTTTTGTAAATTTGCCAAATATTTGACATTATGCATTTGTCTTTAATTAATTCAAGAGTAGAAGTTCATTGGTGGAGAACATTGATCTCCTTTCACAATTAAATATCTTTTTTGATTAGATAAAATTTTCTTTTTTAGTTAAAGCAAGTACATTAGTTCAGTGCTTAAAACACGTTTTTTTTTGTGTGTTATTTTTAAAGGATAAGTATCATTCAGAAAAACATTTTTACATTTTATATGTGGTAAAAAAAAAAAATCAGATTGTTGTTGAAAGGACTAGATGAAATAGTAGGATTGTATTGAACACATCGGCTTACTAATGAAATCAAAACATTGCCTAGTTCCCTTTTTTGTTTTTCAAAGTAGCACAATCACAAGCTAATAAGTTAAAATTAGGCCAGACATGTTTAGCCTTTTTTTTTTTTTTTTTAATAAGACCACATAGGAGGCTTAAAGTGCATAGCATCTTCTTCTATCAGTGACTAATGGTTATTATGCTCAATGCTGAATAATCTTGAGAGAGAGAGAGAGAGAGAGAGAGAGAGAGAGAGAGAGAGAGAGAGAGAGAGAGAGAGAGAGAGAGAGAGAGAGAGAGAAAGAGAGAGAGAGAGAGAGAGAGAGAGAGAGAGAGAGAGAGAGAGAGAGAGAGAGAGAGAGAGAGAGAGAGAGAGAGAGAGAGAGAGAGAGAGAGAGAGAGAGAGAGAGAGAGAGAGAGAGAGAGAGAGAGAGAGAGAGAGAGAGAGAGAGAGAGAGAGAGAGAGAGAGAGAGAGAGAGAGAGAGAGAGAGAGAGAGAGAGAGAGAGAGAGAGAGAGAGAGAGAGAGAGAGAGAGAGAGAGAGAGAGAGAGAGAGAGAGAGAGAGAGAGAGAGAGAGAGAGAGAGAGAGAGAGAGAGAGAGAGAGAGAGAGAGAGAGAGAGAGAGAGAGAGAGAGAGAGAGAGAGAGAGAGAGAGAGAGAGAGAGAGAGAGAGAGAGAGAGAGAGAGAGAGAGATATTCAGCCATCTTATGCACAATTTATGGGAGAAATTCTAAAGATGATCTCTGTTACACTGAGAGCAAACTGAACAAAAAATTTTCCGGGGTAATCTTTTCTTGCTTCAGATATTCCAAGCTCTCAGATCCGGCCAACTGGCTTAGGATTGACCCAAACACAGGCCGGATTACAACAATTGCCATTTTGGACCGCGAGTCACCCGAAGTGAAGAACAGCATATACAATGCAACATTCCTGGCAACTGACAGTGGTATGTAAGCATTCAAGTGCTTCAGTAGTTTCCAAAAATACCTTGTTGATGCACAGGTTTCATGGTCTGGATGTTTTAGTCAGACTGTTACACAAGCACCTTTTTTTTTTTTTTCTCTCTCTCTTTTTTAAGGCCATTACTGCCAGAGTGTTCAGGGGAATTTAATGGCTCCTTTTTTTCAGACAAAGGCCCAAGGGATGTCTAATGTAGCCCAGTTCTCAAGGGTCAATCTTGCACCTAGCATCCTTTTGACTGCTTTTGTCATGGTCTTCACCTGAAGCATCCGCCTTGTTTGCAGTCTACGTTGATGTTCTCTGAACTTGAAGCATTGCTGTGAATGTGGCATTTGGCGTATTGGCAGCAATGACTCTGTTAGCTGAAGGTTAATATGTCAGCAATCCCCACAATCATCCAGCATGTGGATGTTTTCACCTTCTATTTGCACCAGTAGGATTTACCTCTGTTCGGATTTATCACTGTTCAGGTTTACCCTGTTCTATGGGGCATAGCTTAGGCCAATAGGCTTAAAAACTCTACCAATAAAGAGGTTTCTCAGCATTAATGGGTCAGGATTGGATGACTAGCTCCTTTGAGCGTGGCCTGAATGGTTAAAAAAAAGCCTCTTAGCTGGGTGAATACATAGAGGAGCCTGAGAGGAGCGACAGTGGGCTCTGTTTGTCTGCTTTAGTATTCCTGTCCCGTGTCCTTCATCAGGAAGATGTTCTTTGGGAATACAAACACACACACAGCAAAGTTCAGATTTCTACCTCTTTCTTTGCACCTTCTCACTTGAGATTAGACTCTTAGATCAATAAGCATTTTGTACAGGACTGCTCCTACTAAAGTAAATACGGATTAAGATAGCCAGCAAAGAAACTCTTTACTTTAGTTCCTCTGCTGACTCTATAGTGATCACATAGCAAGACAAATCTGTACAGTATATTTCTTTCAAATTCCATCATTCCATCCATTTTCCGTCATGCTTACCCCAAGTGGGGTGGCGAAGGATCCTGGACAGGGTCGCCAGTAGCTTTCAAAATGTATTTTTTACATTTAATTTATTTCTAAAAATCCTCGCTGTATTTCATTAAGAATGTGCTTTTCCATCCAGACAAAACCCATCCAGCAAGTGGCACAGGCACTCTACAGATCTTCCTGTCGGATATCAATGACAATGCACCAAGAGTGTCCCCCCCTGAGGCAGAGATATGCGAAAAGCCGCAGCCAAACTCCATCAACATCACCGCCTACGATGGGGACCTGAGCCACAATGCAGGCCCCTTTGCATTTGAGTTGGCCCACCGGCCTTCAGAGGTCAAGAGGAACTGGACCATAACAAGAATAAGCGGTGAGATACGGAACAGTTTTAAATCACCAGATTCATACAGGGCCAATTAGTGCTGGTATGAAGCCTCATGGGATAATAAGATTGAATTGGCTGTTCCCAGAATGTCACAGATGATGAGTCCGTTTTTTTTTTTTTTTTACTTTTAATCTTTGTGGTTTTTACAATAAAACAGAAAATACTGTAGATTTTCTTTTCTTTCAATTAGTGGCATTTTAAAGCCATAAAAGTTTCAAACCAAAACAAGGTTGATTTCTCAACATGTTAAGTCATTAGGGCTTTTAGAGTTTAATCTTCAATTAATCCAAAAAAAAAAAACTTAGGAAACACATTTAACTGTTTGTTAAAAGCGTACCATGAAGGTGTAAGACCTATATACTAATCTATTAATCTTACCAAATACGCTTTAATTATTTATGCTAATTTCAAACAAAACCACAAGCAGAGGAACTAATTTGTTATGTGTTTAGCTATTAGATAGTGGGAGATGAAACGCAGTGAATAAATCTTAATAGGATAATGGCATGTGGATTATCGCAGCCGGGAATTTAGCCTAAGCAGCATTATCAGAAGGTATCCAGAAGATTTATAAGCTTCAAATCCTGACTATGTTTTGGATTAGATATGTTGATGCAACTTCCAGGTAGGAATTTATGCTGCATATTTTCGATAAAAGGAGTGTAATCACGATGTGAACAGCATCTTTACAAAAGACTTCCGAGTCTAGGAATAAATCCCCTCTGAGAAACCTGATCTCCGAAACAAATATATTAGTTTATAATAAAACACACAGAGCCGCTTCATCTTTAGTCACCTTTCCACATGTATTTCCTCTGACAAAGGATGCATTTAGAATTATATAAAACTCTTTTTTTTTTTCCTGGCTCCTCTCTCGTTTTTTAGGTGACTATGCTCAGGTGAGCCTAAGGATTGGCTTCCTTGAGAGTGGAATCTATGAGGTCCCCATCATAATCACAGACTCGGGCAACTTACCCATGTCCAATACCTCCTACCTACGGGTTAAAGTGTGCCAGTGTGACATGAATGGAGACTGCACGGACCAGCAGCACATCATGGCTGCTGGTCTGGGCACAGGAGCCATTATTTCGATCCTCCTCTGCATCATCATCCTTCTCAGTGAGTATCACTTACTCCTAACCTGCACACCACAGCTGGAAAGCAGGAATTATAAGAGAAACTATCAGAGATATCAATAGATTACTGTCGGATTACTAAAAGATAGCTATAATCAGGCCCACATCCATGCTTTTGAACTTCAGATTTGATTACATTTAACAAAGGAAAATGTGCAAGTTGCTTATTTGTAACACGAGACGTCTTTGTTGCTTCATCACTCAGTTCTAGTGCTGATGTTTGTGGTGTGGATGAAGCGGCGGGACAAAGAGCGTCAGGCTAAACAGCTTCTCATCGACCCCGAAGATGATGTGAGGGACAATATTCTCAAGTATGATGAGGAAGGAGGCGGAGAAGAGGATCAGGTAAGGGTTACTAAACTATTTTAACTAATTTCCCTTCTCTGTTGAAACTTTCTAGATCAGGGTTTTTTTTGTTGTGTATTTGTGCACTGGTGGCATTTATTTCCAATATCCAGTAGGTTTTCAGAGAGGAGAGTGTGTGTGGATGTGTGGAGGACAAATAGCCTCAGTATATACAGCCCACTTTCTTCATGTACAACATGCCTCACCCATATTGAATCAGTTTTATTCCCCTCAATAGTAAGCTGGGGGTAAAGGTTTATTATTACTGCCGAAACATTCATGCCCATTATCTTCGTTTTCCAGAAAGGATGCAAAAGTCCTTTGATCTGGAAATGAAGAGAAGCAGATGAGATGGAGGCAGCTAATTGAGCTGCTTAGTTTGAATCATTCTGATTAAACTCTTCTTGGTAGGACATTTTGTCATTTTAGTTCTATAGAATGCAAAACCTAATGGGGCTTGAAAGAGTGATGTAACAACCACACTGCATTTTGGGAGCCTCCAGCACCTGACAACAGGCTTCTGTTTGTTCACACCACCTGCATCTACAGTGCTATCTTTGTTTATAAGAAAAAAATAAAAAATGGTGCAACAATGTTATGGCGTTAACTACTACACATGATTCCTTCAGGAAAAAAGAAACATTGGGTTGACATATTACCATTTACACTACGTAAGCACAGCCAAAAAACTAGAAGATCCTAACAAGGAGTAGACAAATGGTTTTGTATCAGAAGTAAGATTAATTTGGCCTTTAATCAGAAACCTTTTTTATGGTGGGGGGGTTGAGAGGTTTAATGGAGTTCTTGTATTGATTTCAACCAGCAATTTATCATAATGGACTTTAAAAATGATTTCCAAAGGCTTATTTCTATGTTGAACATACAGCCCTTCTAACAAAGCTGAGGACTGCCATTGAAAAGATAATAAAAGGCTAATGTTCTCTTGTTGTTGAAGAGTCCCATCTCTGATGCACACACAGTTTGGCTGAGTCAACATCGGAACAAAGGATACCTCTTAATAACTTTCTGCAAGCATATGTACATTTTGTTGTTTCTTTCTTGTAGTATTACTACTTGTTGTTTTGCTCTGAGTCATCCACCTTGAAGAGAATAATCATATTCTAAGTTTAGATTGAAAATGGAAGATGATTTCCCCCCCCAACCCCTCTCAAAAAAAGCTGGGAATCAAAGACTGGAATCAATAAGGCAAATACGTTTTGATCCAATTGGTTCTGAAAGTATTGGAAACGGTTTGTCAACTGGAACATCCTCCTCTTTCACAGCTCTAATGCACACAGCAGCAATAGAAACGCAATGCCACAGGCATCAATAATGCCCCCATCTCGGTATCCTGATCAGACACACACAGAATTCAATTGTCCTAATAACCCTTGTTAGCAGGATGGAATCATTTCATAAAAAAGGCAGGATTATAGCAAATGGGCTATTTTCCTGCTGCTGGCTGAAGTGCTTTGGTGGCTTAGGTATAACAGAAATGTGAGGCAGACCCCAGCCTGACCCATTGCAGTGCCAAATTAGCCTCGGAGACGTGTAATTGGTGAGCTGATGTCATTTAGAGACAGACATCTGCTGGGGTGCAATAATGAAGCCCAGTCTAAGGTAACAATATGACTGGAAAGCCATTACACATCTGCTGGTGATTAGGCAGGAGGGAGAACATCCATTTGTCTATTAACATTCTCAGTCTCACTCATAAAATGCACAGACCTGTGGACCAGAACATGTTGAAAAGGGAGACTGTGGCACATAACACCCCTCAAAGGCAAACGTGTGGGTGCAGCGATTTATTGAGGGAAAACAAGCTTCCCGTTTGGCGGAGAAAGGCCACCGCATCAGGAGAAAATGGTCTTGTCTGTGGAATGGGAAGCAGTCCGTGTTGGGTAAAAAATGGGCCTGACTTTCCCAGTGATGTAGTCTTTATAATGCTCACCTCTGTTCTCCCTATCTCCCACTGAGGAGGAAATTGAAGTGTCAGACCATTGGGTGCTCTCACTGAATTTGATTTTAGTTGCTGCTGTCATCTTCCTGGTTTGTACGGATTTGAATAGGCTTCATTTCATCAAAGCTAGACTGGTGATCTGCTTTCGTTCCCTGTAAATTGGGCAAAAGAAAAAAAACTAAACCCACCAGAAATAATAGAAAATTGAGAAGTGGTTGTTTCACGATTCTCCTTAGAGCAAGGGAAAAGGAGGAAGCAGGTTTGTCTCTTTAGAACGACCTTAGACTGATTTGATTTAGATTTACCTTTTAATAGTGCGATGAGAGACGAGCTGTGAGAAAAGGCAATATTTTATTTTTTTTCCCCCAATCTTTCAGCTTAACAATCAGTCTTTTCTGAAAGTTTTTTTTCTTCCTTTAAAGGGAAGACTGAAATGTCATTCCATTCACAGCGATTTAAAAGGAATTTGTTTTAGTTTTGTTTTAGAACAAGATTAGCTATTTTTGCAGTCGTGGTGACTTTAATTCTAATAACACTGAACCAAAGGGAGTAATTGCCTTGTCCACATCCAAATGTTATTACTGAAACTTAAATGAGAAAGGTGGAACTGCATAGTTAAGCTACTTAACCTTAAAATAGGGAGAGGGGGAAGGAGGAGGGGAAAACTTGCTTAAAGACATCCAATCTGGTAATGCCTAGCAACCAGAGTACACACCCTTATCCTTCACTCATGGATATTTGAGAAATGTTAAGATCCTTTAGGTCATACTTTAAAAGAAAGAATATGATGATAAAATAACTAGATTTATTTTCAACAAAACATTGAATACTCCGTTGTATGACGATGATAGTTTAATGTAGATGTTAGCATTGGGCTTATGTGAGATGCGGTTTAGTTCCCCTACTTGATTTTGACCCCATCATTTAAAAATCCTCCATAAAGAAACCTCTAAGTCTCTATCTGACCGTACTTGTTTGTTGTTTGCACTGGTGAATGAATCGAGCATAGCGAGGCTTCGTCATGCTGAAGTTGCGCTTAATGATTGTTGATAAACAAGGAAAGCCTAACAGCAAATCAGGGCAGGGAGTAAATTAAAAGTTGCACAATTGAACATTTACTCACCTTTCTGCAAATTAAATTGATCAAGACATGAATGAACAGTTGTCTGTTCTGCTGAAAGAAGGTTCTTTCACTTTATCACCGTATGGGCGAATAGTCTTTTACTTTCTCAGTCATCCTTCGTTCTCCTCACGCGCTGCTCTCTATTAGTAGAGAAAACATTTAACTCCACGAATTGAAATGAACGTTACTTTCCTTACGTAAAAAAAAAAGTCTGTTAAAATCAGTTTAGAATAGTTTCTAAAACATATATTTCTGAACTAATAATTGGCAAACGATGAAAATTGAACTATAAAATCTCACTAATCGGCAGCAATGTAAAATATTTAGTTCTTTTTCTTTCTCTTTTTCTCTTTTTGTTTTCTTATTTTACTGTGCTATAATATGAAAAGTAGGAATATAAAAAAAAGCAATTAATCCAAAATGATTATGGCGACATCTTCTCCTCTATTAGCATTAAAGTCTTTTGTATGCACTTATTCAAAAATGACCTCAGTCATTGTTCTTATTATTTGTATTCTTGTGCACATTTAAACATGACAAAATTAAAGTGACAAATTGGATTGAATTTTCTTGTCCTGCAGTTTGCTTCAATTTTAATTTACTATTGAAACTAATCTCATCCTGTTATCACCACAGCCTTTAACACTTAACTTGGTAAGACATTTTTGATTTCGACTCACCACAAATGATGTGTATAGAATGTGAATGTTTAGATGCTTATGTTTGAACGTGGTTATGAATGCCATGGGCAACCATTTCAGAATACGAGGGAGACGCCACTTCACCACTTAGAGCTGCTATGTCATTATGTCATTTATGGTTTGGTGGATTGGGCTCCTTTGACATCCAGCTCCTTACAGAAATTCACACAAATGGATTTCCTTACTTGGCTTCGATTATTCTCTTTCCAGTGAAAATTTAATTTAATTTAATTGAGCCTGCATGGTTTTGATTTGGTTCAAATTTTGATTGATATCTCCAAAAGAATTTAGGTATTAAAAATGGCACCTTAAGTTATTTGGTTTTAGATATATGTATTTGCTTATATTTGATTTAGGATAACGTCAGAAAGATGCCAACTGAAGCCTCTGGTTTATGAAAATTATGGGTTAAACCTTTATAACCTTTCTTATGAGCCTTGAAATTTCTATCATGTTAAAATAATGCTTCTGTAACATTAAATATTTAATTATGGCTATTAATACAATTAAAGCTTTGCTTAAGCTTTGTGGTGAAAATATTCCTCCCAAAATTCCATAAATTATTACTATTACAATTAGTTTACACCTTGTCAAATGTTCCCCAACACACAAAATATCTTTCATTTAGCATTAACCTTTTTAACTGCTTCTCCTAGCCTTGGTTCAAAAGATTGGATTTATTTTCATAATATGTACCTTACAGCTAAATGCACATGGGGGCTCTAAGCGTGCCATACAGGCTGATTGGGGGTCGGTGGGGTGTAGTCAGTAATAATTGATTGGACTGATTTTTTACAGAGGAACTAACATGCTGACAGCAACTAAACAGAGCTTTGTAATAAAACTCGTGTAATAATGTGGGATCGTGTGCCAAGAGATCTCGTCAAAGCCATAATAACTGCCTAATTTCTGTCTGCTGAGCATTACCCATGGTGTACCTATAGCATTAGGGTTGCTTTACAAGCAAGGGATTATTCAGTTAAAATATGAAAAGATTTTAATGAAGAATGAAATTAATGAACTAAAATAAATCTACCACCAGCATGAGAGACTTTTGTGAAAAACATGACTTTTTTTGTGAAATATCTACAAGGAATTCAACTACTACTGAAAAATAAACAAATATGGAAACACTATGGTTATGATGCCATTTCCAGCCCATGAGGTGATAGAAGATTGGAGGAATAAGATCAGATAAGATGGGATCTGGAATTAACCAATTTATGTTGTATCAAATAATTTCAGATTATACCAAGACTATAACAATTGCTGTTCCATGCATTTAAAATACGGCCCTTCAGTGCACCGTGTAAGGTGAACACGCCATATTTATTGCAGTGAGTGGCTAATGGTAGGTTTAGTCAATGTTTTCTTGCAGTCATCTCAGAGTTTAGGATCAGATGGTGTCTACACAGCAGGGCAAAGCAGAAGCTGCTTCCTTCCCTTATTTTAAAATAAGCTGAGCTTTAAAAAGGTTTCTTCATAGCCAGGGCCCTTAATAATCACTTAGACTTAATTTACCAGAGAAACTCACATGCTGACAGCTACTAAATGAAGCTTTGCAATAAAACTCATGTAATAATGTGGAATCTTTTACCAAGAGATGTCATCAAAGCCATAGTAACTGCCTAATGTCCATCTGCTGAGCATTACTCATGATCCACCCATAGCATTAGGGATGTTTTTACAAGCAACAAATAATATGACAACTGACAACTAACCTGTATTGAATTATATCACCCACGAATTACATGAATTATTCTGTTTTATGAGCAGAGAAGATGTTTTACTTTAGTTTTGACATATTTGCAGTTGAAACCACATTGCTGCAGAAATTATATTTTTCAGAGCAGCGTTGATGTTGTATTGGCTATTAAAAAATTCATTATTTTATTTAATAAAAACTAAATAATACTTCCACAATATTCCACCTAGGAACTAGAAGTATATAACTAAAGCCTGTACAACTATTTTAATCTTCAAACCAATTTTAATTTTTTTTTCATGTCACACTGACTGCTTATAGAGAGGCTCCAACTACTCAGGGCGAGCAGATCATTGCAGAATTTTTTCACTTCTTTGTCTGTGTCACCCAAATTGAAACAATTTCCCACATTTGACTGGGAAAGATTATGAAAAGTTATATAAAAAAAAAAACAAGGAAAGTTTGTCAAATATTTTATTAAATTTTTTCATCAATAGGGCAGAGTGTGTAGCTGCGCTTACCTGCACTGTGTGCCCCGTGTTGTTTTGTTTTTGTGAGGTTCTAAGAGGGTTACTATTTACTATATCTGTTTTTTGTCCTCCTAAAGTTTGTCAAAGTTTTTTTTTTTTTCCTCAAGGACAGTGATAAGCTGTATTTTCTTGTGTCCCTGATTGCTTTTTCGCGGCCCTAAGATGATCACTACTTTATCTTAGATAGGAGTTCAGGAGGACAGAAATTGATAAAGTATTCTTTTTACCAGAAAGGTTTCATTAATCATTTATGCACCAGTCGGTCCTGCCTGCTCTATATAGTCCGTGAAATTCCGAACATGTTTTCTCTTGCCTTTGACATATTTTATTTTGTGTTTTTCCCCCAAAGCGGATGTGTTTTACTTTGTAACAGCCCCTAAATTTGCCGCTGAATTGCTGTGTGGTCCGAAAAACATATACCTCAATCAGAGCTTTGCAAGCCCCCGTGCAGAAAATCGTGTTGGGTGTGATCATCCCCACTAGCTTCTAATGAGAGCTAAACGCCACAACCTCCGCTGACATGATTCTATCGGATCAGATGCAAAATTGGATTCGGTGTGTTCAGGGCATATCACCAATATCATTGTCTATTGGCCTGTGTGGGTCAGTATGAACAGATCTGGTACCTAGAAGACGGATTAATGAATTTGAGACTTAACCAGTTGCTCTAATGGAGTGATACATGTGAAAAAAAATACCTACTGAAACCGGATGTAGGGCAGCACATATGTAATGGCTACAGTTTGTGAAAAAATACTTAAACTTAGTTCACCAGGTAGAGGATTTTTATCTGGGAATGATGTGTCAAACTAAAACACACGGTTAGGTCACATTCAAAACTGTTTCTTAACACAATTATTAAACACAGCATGCCCATAATAATAACTCACCAAGCATTTAAATAGACTAAATTATAATATGCTAAATACAGGGATGCTGGTACATTTCATGCTTAGCCACATGCTTGGTTCTAACACTATGATAGCCGCAGGATGGGCCTCTCCTGGTGCAGTCTCACTTTGTTCATTAAAGGGAAAATTATCAACTCATGTTTGTTTAAGGTTTTTAATGTTAAGGTTTAAAGAATTTTGTCTTTGCTTATCAGCCAAACTTGCTGTTTAGACTAATAAGGCCCCTATTTATATGCTTCAGGCATTCATCCTGCTGTAATTTTGGCTGTCCTGCTGAGTAAAAGCAAACTCTTGCCTGTTTGTTAGGTACTCACAAATCAGAGCAGCTGGTGACAAGTTAAAAAGACAAACTGTATAAACAATCACAAATTTTATAACTGTAATGGTTACATTCTTTGATACAATAATTGTTCAGTAAATCTCCTGTAACAGCATAACAGCATGCATACTTTCCTCCCTGTGTTTGGGTTTCCTTCTGCATTTACATGCCCTCATGTTTATTTTAACATCCCTGTTCCTGTTGAGAGTGCCTGTGTTAGAATATACATCTGCAACTGAGCAAAGATAATTTTGAAGAGGGATATTAGAGATGGATGGATTACTGAAAATCTCTTAAAGAGGGACAATCCATCATGCACGCCTATTAGGCACACACTGCCTCTCAAATGGTATTATCTTTATCATATCTGCCGTCACCCTGATGCCATCCAGCCGTCATTCAGCTCACTCGCTCCACTCTCCATCACAGCTTCTTTCTTCAGTTCTTTCCCCTCCTCCCTCTCTTCTCGTCCTCTCTCCCTCGCACATGACTTTGCACAAACCACCAGCCATTCAGGTTGCCTTGGTAATGTTAATAGGATTAGCGGTGGCTTATGCATATCCACCATCCCGTGTCTGGGCATTGATTAGAGCGAAATAGTTGCTGCACATCCTTCCTGCTTTACCGTGCACAAGTACAGAAAGTATGCAGCATATGATGTGCTCCTCAGCTTGAACCCCTTCAGTTCTGGCTCTTTTTATGTGTCAAGTTGTTCCTTGGTGTGTTCCTTTACAGGAAAGAAGATTAAAGTCCCCCCTCATGTTCACTCGACTCTCCTTGCTGCAATTTAACTTTAAAATCTTCCCTCCCTCAGTTGAATTTCTTCACGCTCTTTACAGCACAGGATGTGTTTATCTGTTTTAATAATCTCACTCAGTTCTGGGTCTTGTCACACAGCTCAGCTAAGCTCCATCTGTTTGCATGTTCCCCAGGATTATGACCTGAGTCAGCTTCAGCAGCCAGACACATTAGAGCCCGATGCCATCAAGCCACTTGCAATCCGCCGTCTAGACGAGAGACCCCTCCACCCCGAGCCACAGTATCCAATAAGGTCAGCAGCACCCCATCCTGGAGACATCGGAGACTTCATCAATGAGGTAAAAACATAGTTACTGAAACTGTTACTGCATGCTGGAATAAAATCCTAGGAAGAGACTAAACATGAGAGACTCGATGCAAATAAAAAATCCAACATTTTATTTTGAAGTTGAATCAGTTTCTCAATTCTGTCAAGCTAAACAATGTGATTTTTATGAGTACGCATCAAGGACTGCCTTGTAGCTGAAAAACATTTTCATTTATTATTTTTTTGGGGGGGTTTCAATGTTTTACCAGCAGGGATGAAGAACCCTTTCTAATTTCACACATATCTGCTGTAACTCGTATAAACCCAGAAATGTATATGATACTAACTTGCTCAGAGATAATTGTTTTCCTCTGTCTGTAAAGTAGAGATAGAGATGTGTCAGCATAATAATAGAAGATGAGAGCAGCAGTGCATCGGCTTTCTCTCCACATGCACTTCTCAGAGTGCCCTCGTTTGCCTGGGGCCATCATTGACTCCGGCATGAAGGGAGAATGTAAAATAAAAAGAGGAGTCATATATTTTTCACAAGCCCCCACTGACAGGAGTTTCACTGCATTACAAATGAAGTTCGCTCCTAGTTTTTGGACGGCGCCCATGTTTTTAGATTAGAGCCAGCTCTTTTTGACTCTGCTACCCCGCCATTTATCTCTCGCTTCCTTTTAACCGGGTACAATTCACGACCCTCTCACATCATGAATCACAAAAGAAACGTTATGAACTTGTCTCAAACGCCAGTATAAAGAGGAATATTTTGTGGTTAAAAAAACGGCGTGGACTTTTTTCATACTTCATATTGTGTACCAGCTTTTAAGGTCATTGGGGTTTTATGTGTTATCTAAGTAGAAAGAAGTAGATCATGCATAATTTCTTCTCCTTTTACATTGATTTTAATTTTTTACAAATATAAATCGCAAAAGTGTGATGGACGTTTTTAAACTTCCTTCTGTGTTCTTACTCTCCTTAGAAAATTTCAAAACAGCCTAAACTGTAAAGTCTGGCTACTACCTATAGTAGTAGTTCTCCAAACCTAGAGAGGGAAGCTGGTTAGAACCAGTACAAGAAATTACATGTGACTTCATTATAGGTCAACACTTAAGACTTACCAAATGGAGTCTGGAAAAAAAAAAAGGAAGGGGGAAACTGGCAGATGTATCTAGGAGGACAGCAACCCTAACCATACAGCCAGAGATGCAACAAAATCATTTAAATCAGAGCTTATTGATGTGATCGAAGTTTCCTCTCGAACTAGCTAGTGTAGGTCTGATCATAGTCTTAAAATTGACTGCACCTAAAGCGAAGTCATGGTAGCTGCAGCACACCCACTGAGCTGGAATGACCTAACTGATGGGGCTGGCTGCCAACAGAGAGGGGAGACAAGGAGGAGTAGGGAAGGGGAGGGAGGAAGGGGGAGAGTGTCTCATCACCATCCTGAATCGTGCACATTCCCTCGGAGCTCTTAATTAAATTAGAAGGACAAAAAAAAAGTCCAGCATACGCCTACCATAAGCATTTCAACTCCTTATTTGGACAAACGGCGCTCCATTAATCAACTTTGGCCTGTTCTCACGGAAAGCAGCAGAGTTAAAAACATTGGCACGAACCTGACCAAATCACTGTGGCTCACAGGTGGACGCAGAAGACAAAAGTTGAAGTGATTGCACTCAGTGTTTTGCACAGTGGCTCTTTTCAGCCCTCATGCTTTCTGTGATAGCAGCCACTTTGATTACACTTCTTTTTATCTGCGGGACAGAGAGGCTCCAAAAAGTGGAGGCAGTTAATAATTTCATACTTACGGGCTGTGATTGTTTCTACAACAGTGAATAACTCTGTTATAATGAAATCTTTTATTACAACGCCCAGTTCAGTTATTGACTAACTTTATGAAACTGCCACTCTTAGATGGAGAGGGCCATCTCCAGCAGAGCCATTATGGTTGTAATTGAAATGAACTATCCATCTGTCATATTTTACACAAAATGATCAGCGTCACAACCCTGAGGAAATACTTTGCAAAATCTAACAAGTGGAAAATAATGGCTAAGTGCCCAGCCACTTTAATACGCTATCTTTGTTTGAGAGCGTTTCAACACTATAGTGGCTATATAGAGAAACCATAAATCTTTGACGAGTTTCAGCAAACTGAAGTCTCATTTCTCTGCTATGTTCATGTACTTCTTTTAATTCACATATTATTTGTTGAGTGTCCTCAGTTCCAGCGGTAAGAGGGAGAAACCAGGCTCGGTTCCAAAAGTGATTCATGGCCAAAGCACATCTCAACTCCTAGATTAGCAATCCATCAAGTCTCCAGAGTCCTGTTAGTGAATGAGGCTGGAAATCAATAACAATCCATAAGGACCTCTGGTGCTGCTATGAGGATTCTGGGAATGTCAAGTACAATCTTCAGAGTAGAACCACTCCCAAGCAGCGTGCTGGTGATGACGACGATACGCATGCGCGTGCAAACAAGCCACTACCCCTCATCCTGCGTGGGGTGTATGGTTTACTGAGCTGGATATCTATAAAATATTAAAGATGTTTTGAGCTCTCTGGCAGACGACATCCTATCAGAGCTGCACTAGCATGGCAGGGGAGAGCAAGGGGCTCGGTCACAAGGGTTGAGAGGAGAGGAGTTTCTACTGGGCATCTAAGGCTGCCAGTCATGCTTAAAATCCACTTCTGATCAAGAAGTGGATAATTCTGTATCCTAGAAACATCAGGAAGATCTGACTAAAAGCAGAGAAACCTCAAAGGAGCAGGAGAGCCTGATGAATATGGACAAGAACCGCATTTCTTAAATAAGTGGAGAGATATTCTCTGAAAGGTTTTACGGTAAATTGGCTTGTTTGTTAGAAGCAGCACGTTGAGAGAAGCAATGTTTATGTGGCTCAATCCTCAGTCCATGCCTTTTTTTTTGTGTAAAGCAGAAGCAGAAATCTTCACAAGTCAAACCTCTTGAAAGTCTCAAATATTGCAAAAATATTTTTCTTATTGAATACAAACTGTCTAATCTGCCTTTAACACCACAGTGCTGTAGGCTAGGAGTTAAAACCCCCCTACAGTTGAGTGCATCAGGGTTTCATGAAAGCTCAATTTCCAGATGCCTGAAGGTATCACATTCATCTGTTGAGTTATATACAAGTATATGATAAAAACAAAATAAACATGGTGAGTCTCCAGACATTACACTATCGAGTAGTTGTATCCCAGAGACCAACCTGCTCTCTGCACATTATGTGCAGTAACTGCACAAAAAACAGTAAAGTGTCATTATCTGTGGTGAAATTAGCCCTGTACCAATATGGCCTGAGAGGAATATCATTACCTGAAATAAAACTCACAATGTTCAAGAGCTTAATTGTATGAAAGGTATGAAAACATGTTTATATAAAGATAGTCATTTGAAAGTACAAAACAAATCCTTACTGGCATAAAAGAGGAAGTGTTTAGTTATATATGATATTAGAAAGCTTTTGGGGTTCAAGTTTTGTGGATATTAAATAGTCCAAGTAACCTTTATTTGACAACTCCGCCTAAAAGTGATGGGTTTTTTTTCTTTTTCTGTTTGTCCTGCACAGGGCCTGAAGGCAGCCGACAACGACCCCACTGCTCCTCCCTACGACTCCCTGCTTGTGTTCGATTACGAGGGCAGCGGTTCCACGGCCGGCTCCCTAAGCTCGCTCAATTCCTCCAGCAGCGGGGGCGACCAGGACTACGATTATCTCAACGACTGGGGCCCTCGTTTCAGAAAACTGGCGGACATGTACGGCGGAAGCGATGACTAGGATGCACAGGCACACCGCGACGGATGAAAAGTTAAGATTTTTAAGAAGAAAAAAAAAATGAAGAGAAGGAAAGATTTCCCAATGAAGGACACAGACAGCTTCTGATATTCCCTGAGAGTAATAGAACCGTGACTGAAAAAATACAAATGATAAACAATGATTCAGAATTATTATTTTTTTTCTTTTCTCAAAAGGAAACACACAAAAACAACCAACCTAGGCTTATTGTTGTAGTCTACGCATACATATGCTTGTTGAAAGCTTAGGCATAGCCTGTGCTCCAAGTGTGAAGGACGTGGGGAGATAACACTCGGCGGACTGTCACCACTCAGATTGTCGGTATTGAATGCGCTCAGTTAAACTTGAATTTCACAGTACAGAAGCACTGGGATATAATGTGCCTTTTTGTACATTTTTTTGGATCTAAATGATTAGTTTTATGTTCAAGGCTTTAATGGTACTGACTTTTGGAGTGATTTCAAACAAAGTATGTTACACTATGCTTCTACGTGCTTTTTTTTCTTTTTTTTTGGTTACACAATGCTCCTGTTTAAATAATATTTAAATAAATCTCGGATGGAAGGAAAAGCGATTTAAACAGCACTGTACAGTATGCTAGACTTTTAGTTACTCACTAAAAAATTAAAATTATGCAGCTGGTTGCAAATAAAGGGAGTTATAAATCACACTTTTTGTAGCAATATTTTCTTTAGTTTTTTTTTTTCTTTTTTTTTTGAGGTGATGTAGTATTTTACAAAAAAATGAAAAATAAACTGTTTTGGTCTAATCTATGTACACTTAATTTGCCTTAGTTATTATCTGATGTTTTCAACTTTTATTTCGCTGTAAAAAAGATGTGTACATACTGTTATCTTTTCCTTTCTCCTTTTTTTTGATGTGGTATTATGAAACAGTGCAAAAGTCCCAAACTTGTACATGTATAATTTGGATGACAAACTAAAAGTTTTTTGCATGTTTTTATCTTTTCATAATGACAAAAATTTGAGAAAAAAAAAAAAATTGTTCCCCAAATTTATTTAGTGACAGCAACAAGAAAATACAATTCTTGGTAAGATTACATGTGTAGAAGTTAAAGTTTTTTTGTATAAAAAAAGAAATAAAAAAAAAATAAAATGAAGAAAAACATTGAGAAGTAGTGATCTTGTCCGCACAACATTTGAATTTGTACCAAAAAGAGGGAGAGTGGGCTTGGTAAAATGCTAACGGGAACTGACTGATTCAGCTTTAAGACTAGAAAGGGTTTTGAACTTGAGCCTTGTGGATAACGGTGTGTACTGGAACACAAATTATACATCTCTGACCCCCAATCATCCAAATAAAAGGCTGATTTTGGAGCTAACAGCCCCCGTTTCTTTATTTCTTCCTGCTCAGCATAACTTCAGAGGCTTAATTACAATGTGAATTCTGTACTCTCTGAGAACAATAGCTTTTGCATAAAATAGCACTCCTTGGACCATTTTGTCAAAGGTGTCATCATTTATGCTTTTATTTTTTGTTTATAGAGATTGTACAGAACAATATTTAAACCCTTATCCATTAAGATTTTGCTGCTTTTTGGGCTTAAAACTAAACAGTAAAATCAGGATGTAACACTATCTGTGCCGCAAGTGAAGGGAGGAAACTTCCAGAAAACAGATTCATCCCCCACCGGTCTGCTTTTAGGGATTTGTTCAGTTGAGTGCTGCACTGTCAGATTAGACTTGACCTCGAGATGAAGATTTCCTGCTAATCCCAACACTGCTTCTTATTCTTAAGAGACTCCCTTTTGTTTTTGCTCCAGGTTGAAGACATAAGTTACTTTTTATTTTTTGGTTGTTAAAATCAGTCGTAAACATTCCAGACATCACCTGCTTCTTCTCAGTTTTAAAGCCGGGTATTTAACATTTAGCCAAGTCGACACGATAAAGACAGAGTAAAACTGGACTGAAAGTCTGGTTCGCTGGTGTTTTTGTTGAAATTTCTCAACCTGCTCCTTGGAGAGCCAATGAGCCCTTGTTTTCAAGTGACCTTGTGGAGTGCAGAGCTTATCTCTGAGTGTGCACAGCTCTGCACTCCATTTACCAGAGTTGACACAAAATATTACACTACAGAGCCAAATTTAAAGTAAAAAAAAAAAAAGTCTGACCTCCAGGTTTTGTTCCAACTGCAACTAATTAATGTTTGCTGGAATGAGCTACTTCCATTTTACCTTGAGGTTTCCAAACAGAAGCAATTCATTTTCTCTTTCCTTTTGTCTCTGCCCCCTAATGGAAGGGGTTAACTTTTGACTAACCCGTCTTGCTGACTTTGATCTTGAGCCAGCAGACATGTGTTTAGTGATTCAACGTTTAAAAAAGGGCTTCATTTTAAAGCTTAGAAGTTTCCAGTGTTTGCACTGAAGCAGAGAATGCTTTGAGGAGATTCTGCACCATTAAAGAAGTACTTTGACATTTTAGACATCTTCTTGTTTGTTTTTTAAGGCTAAGATGAGTGAATTTAGGCTATTAAAATACACACATCTGTCTGCTTTAGAACAATAGGCACCAGCTGGAGAACACACACAGAGTGCAGAAATGGAAAGGAAAAAATTACAGAATCACATTTCCAATACCTTCAAATCAGAGCTAGAAATCTCTGAACCAGAGTTATTAGTTTAGCAGTATCTTTTTTATGAGATATTCTTGTTTACAGCATCTGCTCTGGTCAAATAATAAAAAAACATTGCTCCACAATTTCCTTTTTTTTTCTTTTTGAAATGGAGAGCAGGAGAACCTTCCCTGATGTCTGAAAGGTTATACAGGATGTTATCAGTAAGAAGCATCTGAGATGAAGCAAAGCTGACTGTGAAGATGCACAGAATGTATCCCTGACACTTTTTGATGCTAATGTTGTTCCATGTTTAATAAAACTGTCTACGTTCACAAAGAAAACATAAACCTTGAAGGTTTGACTGTTTAGTAACATCTGTTTCTCTTTTAACCTGCTTCAAATGAATCTATGCCACAAGTCCGAGCTCAAATCTAAAGAGGTAATGGGCCAGTATTGTGGTTTTGCAGGCCAACAATAACTGTCCATTACTAATGGCTGGCCTTTTTTTTTTGGTTCAACTTGCATGTTTCCTAGGCCATAGCAAAGCCTTTGGGCCACTCTGAAAGCTGGAAACTCAATGCTACCCTAGACATTTTCAATTGAGAAAGCTTCCTGGATGGGAAGCTAAACGTCTTCAAACTTAGAAACAAAGTCCAGTGCATTGTTACCTGGATGACTGAGAATCTTCAATCTAAAGAGGTAATGGATGTGGTAGGACCTTTTTCCATCAACTGTGTGGTCAAGTGTTACTTAGATTCTAACTGCTAACCAAGCAGTCAAAATAGGTATGCAGTTAGATATTACTTTCTCAAAGTCCTCTGCAGAATAGAAATCTATCAGCCTGCTGCACCAACAGGTTTTATAGATGAACTGTATAAACTAGACTTATGGGGTGCTACTATAATGTTACACTGCATTTATTTCTTTTTTACATTATGTGGGCTTTTATTGTTTAGCAGAATTTGTCTTAAAACTTTTTTAGTGCAGGCCTTTTTTGGTTACAGGGAGGCTATTGCAGTTGAATGTTCTTTCTTCAGTAGAGCCCCAAAGTCTGGTATAAATACACACGCCCCCGTAACAAGTCATCCTGTCCTCCTCTGCGGTGCCGGCTTTAGGTATTGCTGAATCACCGTCTGCAGCTGATAAGGCTCCAGCCACTGGCTTCACAAAGCCTCCTTCAACCTCTGATGAAGAGGGGGGTGAAAGTCCTCCACCTCAAAATGAGAAGCCAGACCCCTGCCCCTCAGGCTCTCTTGGTTCTGACTCCTTTTGTAGCAATTTTTCAAAATTTGTCTGGTTGAGGGGTAAGTGAAACTAACCCTGGGGTTAGTTTCACTTTTAATGACATTTAACCTGACATGGTTGTTGGTTCAAATGTTTCAGAAGCTGCTGTTCTACTATTAGTTTCACACAATACCATCCTCAAGTTTCTCTTCACGTTTCAAGTGGATGGTCACAAATATACTGTATATCACATATCTGAAGTGGCAGTGTTGTGGAGGAAAATAAAAGCTCACTATGTAACCATCACTAAACCCACAAAACACTGAATAACAGATCTGATAAGTAAAGCGGAAATCCACACTGGAGGATAAAGGGAACTAGAGCCTTAAAACACCAGTGGTGTCAAAATTACACACATTTGTTGCTTAAGTAGAAGTATAGATAGATGCAGTTTAAAAACACACTTGAAATATCAACTTGACCTCTTTACTCAAATGAAAGTTAAAAAGTATGTGCTCCAAAAATTACTTAAAGTATAAAAGTATAAAGTAACCTTTAAAAAAAACAGCCAGAAGCCACTATATGAATTGAAAACTCAATTTTCGGACTATTTTTGAAAAATTCTTTGAGATAGGGCCAAGGATGAGGGAGGTCTTGTTGGTCTCCATCTTCCGATACGCTCTCGCCTGTTTCCGACCTTTCAGACATTTCGACGTCTTTTTTGGAATCCTACATTGTAGGCAGAAGGGGATTTACCATTAGGCAATACTAGGCAGCTGCCTAGGGCCCCAAGTTCCTGGGGGCCCCATAAAACTCTGTTTACATGTATGGCTATTACAGCTATTACTTTTTTGCGCACATTAATTATGTTTTAGATAAAATCCTTTGGCAAAAATGCCATCAGAACGCTTATAATATCAGCCCCCCCCTTCAGTGTCCACCATATTGGATCAGTCCATTTGCTGCACATGTTCAGAAAGGTTCAAACAGACAGCAGCAAACCATTTGAAAACAAACGATGCAAAGAGCTGTGATGTCAACTTAGCGCTTTTGTCGCTACATTTAGCGACTTTTCAGACCCCTCTAGAACTTTGATTTCAAAAAAGCGCCTAGCGCCAAATCTAGTGACTTTTTTCTGCTACTGGAGACTTTGGAGACAACACCTAAAAGCAGCGAACTCTGCTCTCCAGAGCGAGTAGATTGGTAACCCCGCCTCCTGTTCTCCTCTATCTTGTCTGCTTTCATGATTCATGCAGCTATTATTTCATCCAAATGAAAAATGGAGAACAGAGAAGAAGATCATGGCTTGTCTACAGTGAAAAGGAGGACTGGGTTATTTACTTTCGCCTTTTTGGAAACACAGGAAGGAGCAATCAGCTAAGTGAGCTTAGTGTCTTAGGTCTGTTTTATGTGTTGTCTTCTCAATTCAGAGGGCCCCCTGCCTGTCTTTGCCTAGGGCCCCAAATTTCCTAAATCCGCCCCTGATTGTAGCATGGCATAGACAATTCACGTTTGCAGTTTGAAGAATACCTGCTTGCTTCTGATGATCTGTAGTAGTAGTAGTGTTTGTGTTATATGACTCATCATTACACTAGTTTTCACTAGATGTGGATGGTGCCAATGACCTGCACTGGATGGCGCACATGATGTGAAATAAATATTTATAAACATAAAACCAAAGCCAAGAGTAACGAGTAACGTTTGTTTTCAAGATGTAAGGAATAGAAAGTACAGTTACTTGTGTGAAAATGTAATGAATAGAAGTCAGAAGTAGGAAGAAAAATAAGTAATTGAGTAAGGTATAGATACCTATAAAGTGTACTTTGTTACTTGACATCTCTGTAAAACACACAAGTTCACCAAAACTGCAAGTAAACAGAATGAAAAATAAACAAATAAAGAACCCCTAATCTGATTGTTCACCATTTCAGTGCTGGCATTTAGATGGTAGGGTTTATAATTAATGTAAATTAGATCAAAGCGCACATACAGTGTATGGGGTATGCAGGACCTAGAGAGTCACAAAAACAGTCATTCCAAATGCAACATTTCAATCATGCATTCTAAAATCTATTTGAAAAAACGAAGATTGAAAGACCAGAATTCATCACTTTGATTATAAATACCTTTCCAAATAAACATTTAAAAAGATAATTTCTTATTCCATTTCTATTTTCTTTTTCCAACTTCTATTTTCAAATCATTTTTGAAATTCCATTTTATTTTTACACTCCTCTCTCAATTCACCTTTTCCATGATCCTTCTAGTCCCTGAGCACACTGAAAACTAGTTAAACCAATCATAGTTGCTCCTCAGATAAAACCAGGTCTTTTATTGGTTATTTTCTGAACAAAGTGTGGCAGTCTAACCAATGAGAGAGTTTAACTTGTTTTGGGGTTTGCCCTGGGACCAAAAGGGTCAAGGAAAAGGTAAATGGTGAGGGCAAAGCAAAAAGAAAATTCTAATTTAAAAAGGATTAGGGAAGATATTTACAATCAGATTTATGTTAGTTTTGGTTTGTTGGTTTTTAAATCTTTATTTAGAAAA